CCTGGGGCTCATCAGGCACATTCCTCTTCAGTGAAGTACAACAGAGGCCTGAGCTGCTCCCGGGTGACAATCCTGAGTTCTAAAGAGTGTGAGGTTTTCTATCCGGGCGTGATCTCCAGCAACATGATCTGTGCAGGACTAGACAGAGGCCAGGACCCTTGCCAGGTAGGAGCTGACCTCAAAAAGGTCTCTGCCTTGCAGAGGGCGTGGGGGGGGGGGAACTGCTGGGAGATGATGGAGAGATGGCCCAGGATGGCCCGCCCTGCCCCACCCCACCCCACCTTGCCCCACCCCTACCTCACACCCATGCTCCACACATTCCTAGCAGATGCCCCGTCCCTTCTCCTGGCCCTTCTCCATATCCCGCCTACCATGAACCCCAGCACACCTCCATTCTCCCTTCCTAGCCCCAGACCCCCAAGTCCTCCTCCTCCCTCCCTAGTGCACCCCAACCTGGTCCCCAACTCCCACCCAGCTGAGTCCCACTGCTGTTGAGACCCCACCCCTTCCATCCTGTCCCTCCCTGGGTGGCAGGGGCAGGTCCCACCTTCGCTCTCTCCCCGCAGAGTGACTCCGGCGGCCCTCTGGTGTGCGGGGAGACCCTGCAGGGTGTCCTGTCCTGGGGCATGTACCCCTGTGGCTCCGCCCAGCACCCTGCCGTCTACACCCGGGTCTGCAAGCTGGTCCCGTGGATTGAGAAGACCATACGCTCCAACTGACCCCTCCACAGCCCCCACATCCCCCCCACGGCCCCCACCTCATACCTGGGAGCACCTGCCCCTCGCTCCTCCTCCTCCCGCCCACAGGAGCCCAAGGGCAGACAGTCAGTGTCGTTTGTTCAGAGAAGCAAGAAAGCAGATAGTCTCCTGGAAGTTTCTGGAGCCATGACACCATGGCTTCCTCTACCGCTCGCTGCTGTGTGCCCTGGGACAAGCTAAGGCCCTCTCTGAGCCCTGGTTCTCCCCCCTACAAGACAGAGACCATGCGTGCCCATCTCTTAGCCACAACGTATGTGAATCTTTGTGATGATTGGGGAATGCTGAAGGCAGGGAGCCACAAGCATGGAATAAACGTTACCTGCCCACGAGGGCCTGTAACTATGTAGAGGAGAAGGGTGTGGCAGTCTTCATTCCCAAACATCTGCAGTCCCCAAGGGCTGATGGGAAAACCCTGTCCCTCACTCCCCAGTGACGGGGTCCAGACAATGTCTCATTCCTGTGTCCTAGCCAGGCTGGCCGGGACTCTCCTGGTCTCCCCTCTTGGCTTTCATGAGGCAAGGTGCCAGCCTTGAGCACAAAATAAGGGAAATTGCCCAGGCCCTGAGTTGGAGCCCCAGGACTGGCACACATACACACACACACACACACACACACACACACACCTTTAGTTGGTTTATTTTTAATTTCTCTGGGATTCTCCTCCCATGGACACTGTCTCTATAAGTATTTCTCTCCTGGGAGGGATGGGAGTGAGGTTACCCACAGAGCCCAAGCAAAACTAGTAGGCAGCCCCACGTGGCCTGATGAGACTCTTGAACTCCAATGAATGAGCAAAGAGCTCAACGTGGAGCCATGGCTCAAGTGGTTGAGCACCAGCCTTGAGGGGGGAAAATAGCTAAGAGAGATCACTCATGCCCTGAGTTCAAGCCCCAGCATACACTCTCTCTCTCTCTCTGTCTCTTTCTCTCTCTCTCTCTCTCTCTCTCTCTCTCTCTCTCTCACACACACACACACACACACACACACACACACAGAGTCCACCTGCTTTGGTGTACTCTTTCCAACATCTGTTTTATGTGTTGTTTTTTTTTGTTTTTGGTTGGTTGTGGGACTTGAACTTTGGGCCTGGGAGCTGTCCCTCAGCTCTTCAGCTCAAGGCTAGTGCTCTACCACTTGAGCCACAGTGCCACTTCTGGTTTTCTAGTGGTTTATTGGAGATAAGGAGTCCCACAGAGTTTCTTGCCCAGGCTGGCTTTGAACCCTGATCCTCAGATCTCAGCCTCCTGAGTAGCTAGGATTACAGCGTGAGCCATGGGCACCTGTAATCCAGCCCAACATCTGTTTGTAAAGCAACTACTGTTGCAATCCCAGCAGGGTTTGGGAGGGGGCGGGGTCAGAGGAAGGCCGGTGTCTGAGGTCTGAGCACGAGGTCTGGGCGATGTCTTCCTGGGCAATGTCTCCCTGGGCTGGCTCTTCCTCACCCAGTCTCCAACAGCACACCCAGGAAATGTCAGGCCCACATGTGTAGCAGCCGGCTGCATCATCCGGGCATCAGAAACAAAAGAGGCGGGAAATGTGCTCACTGGATTTCTGCACTAAAGCGATTCACCAGTTCTCTTCACTCCCTCCATGGTGTTTACTGACTGGGTGCCAGTCACCACACCCTGTCCTCAAGAAGCTGCCCATCAGGTTGTGGAGATGAGCAAGCCATACATTCTTGTCATTCAGGTCCCTCTACTCAAAGGCCACTTCCTCCAGGAGACCTTCCTGGATTGCCCTGGGAAAGGAGGATGGCCAATAATCTCATTTGCTTATTTCTTTCTGTTCTTTTCTCCTTTTTTCCTCCTCCTCCTTCTCCTCTTTCTTCTTCAGCAATACTGGGGATTGAATTCAGGGTCTCTTGATTTCTATATAACCACTCTACCACTTGAACCATACCCCCAGACCTTTTGCTTTTAGTTGTTTTTGTTGGTTGGTTCCACATAGAGTCTTCTGTTAACTTTGCCCTCGCTTGGCCTCTGCCTCTGCCTCTCTGAGTACATGCTGGGCTTATAGACACGTGCCGCCATACCCAGCTCGTTTTCCAGAGAGGGTCTGGCCTTGAACTTCCATCCTCTTGTCTCCACTCCTGGAATGGCTGGGACTGCAGGCATGCACAGCCACGCACAGCTGTTTATTTCTTTTGTAGTGCTTATTACAGCTCAAATTATCTCATTCACCTGTCTTCCTGATTATTGTCTGTATAGCCCCCTCCCCACTCCCACCCCAGCACCCACACAAAATCAAGGCCAGCAGAGCTGTAGATCTTTGCTCACTGCATTTTTCTAAACACTTACCCCAGTGCCCGGCACAAAACACACTGAGGACTGGCCTGGAACACAAATGCGACAGTGTTGTCACAGAGGAAGTACCAGCCATACCTTGGAGAGTCAGAGAAGGCTTTTTCACAGGAGGGGACATTTGCATAGGGTTTGAAAGGTGAGGTTAGAGTTCACCAGCTAGAGAAGAAAAGCTTTTCTGTCACTGATATGTGGCCTTGAGCAAGTGACCTGAATGTTCTTCCTACCATAATTTCTCCCTCTGAATTAAACAGGGTCCAGCCCCTGGTCTCCAGGACTTTCTTGTCTGGAGAGGGAATTCACGTGACTGTGGGTGGTAGGTTCTAGAAAGTTCCGTGGGATTCATTTACTCAACATTCATACGTGTCGCTCTCCTCCCCTCTCCTGGGGTACTGGGATGGATCCCAGAGCCCTGAGTACCCTCAGTAAATGCTCTCCCGTTTGGTCCATACCCCTAGCCCTTTCATTTATATTTTGTTTTTGAGGTAGTTTCTGAGCTGGCCTCAAACCTAAGACCCTCCTGTTGTACATCCACGGTAGCTGGGGGTACAGGCATACACTACCTACCCCTCGTCTTGCAAGTGCTTCATAGGTGTCCATTCACATGGCCCCTCCACACTTTTGACAGATGGAGTGACTCAGAGAGATCTGAGGTCTTGACCTAAGTCACAAACCAATACAGAGCCAATCAAGAGCACCAGACCCAGGTGGTCCAGTCCTGGACTCTATGGTCCAAACAGCAAAAGTGGACAGAACTGAGGGTGCCTAGGCAACCTTTGCCTGGAAAAACCAGAGAAGACATCTTGGTGGAGGGTTACTTAGGTTGGGTCTTGAAGGATGAGTAAGAGTACGTCAGAAAAAAGAAGGATATGGAGAAAGATGTTCACTCATTCAATTAACATCTCTTAAGGACTCCTAAGAGCCCTGCCCAAGACTGGGTGATCCTGGGGACACAGAGATGAGTCAGACCAGGAGCTGGGAGACATGCAGCCAGTGCACTCAGGAATTGGCAAAAATCTGGAAGGATTATTAACAGAGAAGGTAGGGGGAAAGCCGCTGTTTATGCCTGTAATTCCAGCCACTTGGGAGGCTGGGATCTGAGAGGATCATGGTTCAAAGCCAGCCCAGGCAAGAAAGCCCGTGAGACTCTTACCTGCTGTGAATAGCAGAAAGCTGGAAGTGCAGCTGTGGCTCATGGGGTAGAGGGCTAGCCTTGAGCAAAAGAGCTCAGTGATGGGGCCCAGGCCATGAGTTCAAGGCCCAGTACCAATACAAGATGGAGGCGGGGAGGGGGTACTTGGTTTCAAGTGGGTGCACAAGCACCAGGGTCCTTGATGGGAGGGGGCGGGGTGGAGGTGCAGAAGAGACAGATGGTGACAAGTTTGGGTCAATCTTGATTTCTCCTCATTGTAGGCACGGCCTGGGCGCTGGTGGGAAGGGGCTCCCTCCACCCAGGACAGGGGTTGGGGGTAGTGTCCTGTAGATCAGGGCGCTCTTTGCAGCCTTGGCCGACTCTGAGATGCTCTCCGCCTGCCCCCCTTTCTGGCCCCCCATCCTCTTTCCCTGGGCCTCCTGGCTCCTTTCCTTGGAGTCTCAGCCCCAGGTCCCTGAGAGGGGTTCTGCTCCATACAAGATGGAGCATGCGTGGTCCCCGTGATCCTCCTCCCCCTCCTCCAGGCCACAGAAGGTTCTGGGTGTAAATCCTGCAGCTTGAGGTCAGATCCTGAGAGGGGATCCCCCTCCTGCCCCCCCTGGCCCTGCACGACCTTCCCTCCCCCCAGGGCCTGTGCTGGGGCCCCAGGGCTTTCCCCCTCCCCCAGGCACATTTCCCAACCCCATTAATCACAGGGGCGGCCCCGGGGAGGAGGAAGAGAGAACATGTCTTACCATAAAGAAGGAGGCGCGCCAGGTGCAGGCCCGAGGACCCGAGCACCCGGAGGTCATGAGGCTGGCGTTTGCCTGGATTCTTCTCTCTCTCCTGGCAGGTGAGTGACCTGGTACTTGTTCCTCCCCTCCTCCCCCCCCCCCCCCCCCCGGCAGTTCACCCTGCCATCCTGCCTCCCCTCATCCCCAGCTGTGGCCATACATGCAGCCCTCACCCCTCCCAGACCCTCCCTGCCGGCCCTCTGACCCTCCGCAATCCCTACCCCAGGGCATGGCCAGGCGGACACCCGTGCCATCGGCGCTGAGGAATGTCCCCGCCACTCACAGCCCTGGCAAGCCGGCCTCTTCCACCTCACCCGGCTCTTCTGCGGGGCCACCCTCATCAGGGAGCGATGGGTGCTGACAGCTGCCCACTGTCGTAAGCCGTGAGTTCCCTGCCTTGACCACAACGGGCAAGGGGCCGGGGGCCAGGCTGGGGGTCAGGGGCCGGGGGCTGGGGGGATCAGGGGGTCTTCTTATTACAGGAAGGACAGGACTGCGCAAGGCCAAGTCCCAACTCTTAGGATGAAATAGGGAGGAATTTCAGGAGCCTCCTCCATTCTAAAATCCCAGCGTTCCTACCAACCTGGTTCTAAGAATCTAAGAGTCAAAGCCTGTTCCTAAAAATCTTAGACTTGACCTCTAGAAATCCAGAGTCACCGGGCACCGGTGGCCCACAGCTGTCATCCCAGCTACTCAGGAGGCTGAGATCTGAGAAGCACAGTTCTAAACCAGCCCAGGCAGGGAAGTCTGTAAGGCTCTATCTCTAATGAACCAGCAAAAATCCCAAAGTGGAGCTGTGGCTCAAGTGGTAGAGCACCAGCCTTGAGTGAAAAAGCTCAGGGACAGTGCCCAGGCCCTGAGTTCAAGCCCTAAGACCCCCTCCCCACAAACATACACACACACACACACACACACACAAACACACACATGCACACTCTAGCTTTAGAAATCCAGAATCCTCCAGTGTTGGACCCACAGAATTCTAGAATCTTGGACTCTCTATCCCAGCCCCTGCCTGGTTGAGTGTGGCAGCATTGTGCCTGCCATGCGGTTTGTCGTAAGCCTAATAAGCCTCACCTAGTTCTTCCCTCCATGTGGCCAAAGGTGTTTTACGCAGCAGGTGGCAGTTGTAATGACTGCCATTCTAGAATGCTTTGCCTTGTGAGTGTTCTAGGCCCACAGAATAGAGACATTACGGTCCTGGAGGCTTTCACTCACTCACCCTAGCCTAGGAGACAGGATTCCTAGAATTCTAGAACCTGGAGCCTAGAAAATTCTAGAAGCCTATATTTACAAACGTGTCAAATCTGGGGAACTCAGTGTCCCAGAATTCTATCATTACAAGGTTTTCTAACCCCCAAAGCTTTAAGTCTTGACAGTTTTTTGGGAGTCCTAAACCATTTGAATCCTAGACTCATACATTTCTAAAACCATATTCTAGAGTGAGAACGTTCTACTCTTCTGCTTCCGGAAGAGCATAGAAGGCTAGGTTGTTGAAAGGCGTAGCTTTAATGCAGGAGATGCCATCCAGAGGAAGTACAGAAGGTTAGAACCTTCAAGCCCTAAAATGCCAAAACTCGAGCCTTTCAGAATTCTAGATGCATGGGTAGGTTAGGATCATAGAATTCTAGAACACTAAGATTTTGGGTGTTCTAGTAGGATTCTAGATTCAAAATGGTGCCAGAATCCCTCTTCTTTTTTTTGTTTTTGGTTTGGTTTATTTTGAGACAGGGTGATACTCTGTACCCCCAAGCTGGCCTCAAACTTGCAACCTTCCTGCCTCTACTTCTCAAGTGTGGAGACTATGGGTGCAGGAATCACCACATGTGACTTAGGAACCCCCAGCATCACCTCTGGATGAGCCATCTTTCCTTCAGGAATAAAGCATGCATGATGCTTCTGGATGCAGAATGGGAGTTTCCCATCATGCACTGCTCTGTGATGAACTCAAGCTTTGGTCTCAGTCTGAGAGAACTTTGTTTTCAACTTAGCCCCAAAGACAAGGTGGGAAAAGTAGAGATGTGGACGCGGGAGAGAGATTCAGAGGCAAGATGGAGGAGGAGGGGCTTAATTCCCTGCCCAGAGCAAATGGCCACCAGGGCATCAGAGAGGAGCAGAGCCCAGAGTCACATCTCAGACCCCTCACGCCCCGAGTCCTCTGCTATTAGCCTAGTGCCTAATGTCAGAGATCAGAAGCTGGGGATCGAGTAGACTTCCACAAGACACTCACCTCTCCAGAGCACAGATCTAGAGCAGAGCGCATGCGCTGGGACTTCAGCAAGTGAGCCTCAGGTTGGGTATCAGGAAGAAGTGCCGAAGGGATTGAAGGACGTGACAAATAGGAAAAGCCTGAGGCCACAGACGCACCCCAATGTGGGGATTTTCCATATCCTGTCCCCCTGTATGCACACACCCCAAAACACTGACAGCCACTCCCGTGGAAGCCACCAGACCTGTGGTGGCAGGAGGTGGGGTTGTTATGATGTGGAAGGTGGGGCCCCCAGGTGCCCACAAGGGACCTTCTCGGGTCACCACTGAGGCACCAGGTGGGCAGGGAGAAAGGTGGCTAGACGAGAAGGGGATACGGGCAGCAAAAAGCCAGTTTGGGGGGCCAGAGACCCAGAGAGGGGGTATGTGGTTTATGGAAGGTCACACAGCACCCTGAAAGACAGAAAAGGCCCGGAGCTGAGCAGGCCTCCCCCTCCCCTCCCCACACTGGCTTCCAGCTTGGCTTCTGCTGTCTCTCCCACAGGTTCCTGTGGGTCCGCCTCGGGGAGCACCACCTGTGGAAGTGGGAGGGCTCCGAGCAGCTCTTCAGAGCCACCGAGTTCTTCCCACATCCCGGGTTCAACAGCGACCTCAGAGCCAACGACCACAACAATGACATCATGCTGATCCGCCTGCCCCGGCCAGCACGGCTGGGCCCTGCCGTGCAGCCCCTGAATGTCAGCGAGACCTGCGTGGACCCTGGCGCCCAGTGCCTCATCTCAGGCTGGGGCGCCGTGTCCAGCCCCAAGGGTACGGCTCTGCCCGGGGTACTTCTCCCCCTCACCGTACAGGGCCGCTGCACTGATCCTCCCGCTCTTCATTTTCTCCTCTCTCCCACTCTCCCTCCCTCTCCGTTAATCAACTTCATCACACATCAGTGTCTTTCCTCAAGTCCACAATGCTCTAGATTTTAGTGTGCATCACTATCCTAATGAATTATTAAGGATGCAGGAAAAAATATTGCCAGGGGTGATGGCACATGCCTGTAATCCCAGCATTCAGGAGGCTGAAACAAGAGGATCCTGAGTTCCAGGGAAAGAAAGAGGTGGGGATTGGGGGGAGAAAGGGAGAGGGGAAGAGAGAGAGAATATGGGGAAACAAAAAGGTGACACTAAGCTGGACACCAGTGGCTCATGCCTGTCATCCTAGCTACTCAGGAGGCTGAGATCTGAGGATCATGGTTCAAAGCCAGCCCATGCAGGAAAGCCTGTGAGACTCTTATCTCCAATGAACCAGCAGAAAACCAGAAGTGGCACTGTGGCTCAAAGTGGTAGAGCACTAGCCTTGAGTGAAAAAGCTCAGGGACAGCGCCCAGGCCCTGAGTTCAAGCCCCAAGGCTGACAAAAAAAAGAAAGTGATAACGATGGTAAGACATGTTTGACTGGAAGACACATCCTGATTCCCGAGATGTTGCAAGGTAAACATACACACAACTTAGAACTGAAATAAAGTGTGCATCTCCTTCTCAGCCTTTAACATTAGGCATTCCAAATAACAGTATTAATTGCTATTAATAACAAATATTTCCAGTATTAGTTTACAAACTGTCTTGGACAAAAACAATCAGTCTGTATTTGTGGCTGGGGGTAAGCCAAACTTGGGAGACTTTATATTGAAAGCCAGCTCTCTGGGCTGATTTGAGAAGCTCAAAGCCCCTGGTAGGAGACGCACCTCATAGTAGCCGAACATGTTTCAGCACGCCAGTGCTCTGCAGTCCAGACTCACCACTGCAAAAACAAGAAACAAAACAACAAAAAAAGCAAAGGCCTCAAGACTGTACACCCTCATACCCAACCCTCCTGGGAATGTCCACAGAGGCTGTCCCTGGGACAAGGGTTCTCTGGCTCAAAGCAATTCACCCCACTGGCTGCGACCTGACAACCCACTTGCTCAGGGCCTACCAACTTCCCCTCCCCCCCCACCCCCGCCCATGCGACTGAGTTTGTGCCCCAGTGTTATAGTTATATCGATCCAAACGGGGTTCATCTGTAATCCTAGATTTCTCTGTTGGCCTGTGTGAGTTAAGACATTTGTCTTCTGGTTTCTGCATCTTGTGGCTTCTCTTCTCTCTCCTTCTGCCAGCTCCCCCTCCTCTAGCCATCTATTCTGTCTCCCCAGCCCCCACCCTCTTCTCTTTGGAAGTCCTAGGATTTGAACCCTGGGCCTCCAGCTTGCTTAGGCACCCCCAGACCTGGGCCTGTCTCTGCTCTCCATCTCTGAGTCTTAAGAAGCTGAGCACCCCTTCTCCCTGTGGAAGGCCTGCAGGGGGGCTGGGGCGGGGTGGGCATGGGGAGAGCTGGGCGGCTACTGACTGAGCTCTCCCCCGGCGGGCTTCCTCCCGAACAGTGCAGTACCCGCTCACGCTGCAGTGTGCCAACATCAGCATCCTGAACACCATGCTGTGCCACTGGGCGTATCCAGGCCACATCTCCGAGAGCATGCTCTGCGCCGGCTTGTGGGAGGGGGGCCGAGGCTCCTGCCAGGTGAGACTTCGCTGGGGGGGGGGGAGGAAGAAGAGGGGGAGGGAGGCAGAGGGGGGAAGCCCCGCCACTTGTCTGGGTCTTGGGGGGCCAGAGGGGGGAGCCCAGAGAGTCCTGGGACAAGACAGGGCTAGGAGGTCAGAATGCCAGGGCTGGGGAGATCCCCAAGCTTCTGCTCCTGGGCCTGAGGGGGGAGGGAGGCCTGGAACCTTTGTGACCCTGTCATTCTCACGAATAGTGTGGCTTAACGATTTCTCCACCCGACCCCCCCCCGCACCGCCCCACAGGGTGACTCTGGGGGCCCCCTGGTGTGTAATGGGACCCTGGCAGGTGTGGTGTCCGGGGGCTCAGAGCCCTGCTCCAGACCGCGGCGCCCCGCTGTCTACACCAGCGTGTGCCACTTCAGGGACTGGATTCAGAAAACCATAGAGGAAAACCAGTGAGCCCTCCTACCCAGGACCACCGGGAGAGCAAGGTGGGCGAGGGGTTGGGGGTCACCGCAGCCCCAAGCCTCAAAGGTGAACACCCTGGACCTACAACCAAGCTCTGGACGCGGACTCCGCCCCTCAGTCCCCGCCCCTCCAGGGAAGGCCACGCCCCAGCCACGCCTCCGGCAAGCGGCGGACAAGGCCACGCCCCTCGGCGCCCTGCAGATGAGACTCCGTCCCCTTTTGTCCCTGGCTCCCTGATATCACCGAGAGCAGGCCCCCATCACGAGGCTCCTCCCTCCAAGGAATAACGTTGCCCAATGGGACGACTTCTCCTCTAGACTCCGCCCATCCGGCCACACCTTCTCCACAGAGGCCTGACACTGTGGTGCCCAGCGGCACGGCAGCCACGCCCACAACGTTGGGTTCCGCCCCTCGCAGTCCTGCGCTGGGCGGGTCTGGGGTTTGAATCCTGGCGGGGAGGCCTGGGGGAGTCGGGGAGGGTATCAGTCCTCTGCGGACCTGTGCGTGACCAACAATAAACGCGGAGACCTGCTTCCTGGTGCTGTCGGTGTGGGATGCAGAGGTGGGAGGTGCAGGGCGAACGAGGGAAGCCCGTCCCCATCCCAGCCCCTCCTAAGCCGGGCCTGACGTCGCTCCACCAGCCGAGGGCAACCGGGCCCTCCCGCCGCCCCCAGGGGAAGGGGAAACCAGGTCACGGCGCCTCCCAAACCTGCCTTCCCACATCCCGCACCCCTCCGACCGAGGGTGGGCCAGGCTGTCCTCACCAGGCCCTGCAGGATCACCGGCCTTCCGATGCGGGTCGGTTACTGCGGCGCCCCCCACCCCCTCCTCGACCGCGCTCCCAGTCCCTCCTGGAGGGAAAACAAAACCAATTCGGCTTCAGTCCTCCTCCCTCAGACCCGGGGATCCAGACCCCAGTCCTCCTCCATATCCAGGAGTCCAGATTCCAGCCTCCTCCCTCAGACCCAGAGTCCAGACCTCAGCTTCCTCCATCAGACCTAGGGGTCCAAACTCTAATCCTCCTCCATCAGACCCAGGAGTCCCGACTCCAGTTCTCCTCCCTCAGGCCTGGGGTCCCAGCCCTAAGCCCCTCCTCTCCCTCACCTCAGGTGTCCGGAGATCTCAGTCCCTCCTCCCTCAAGGTTTGGGTCCAGCCCCTCCGCCCTTCCTCACGCAGGGTGCTCCCCGCGCCGGGCACCGTCTGGGGAGGAGGCGGGGTGGGGCGGGGACTCCCGGTTAAAAGGCTGGGAATCTTGTACCAGGTGGACAGAACGGAAGTACGAGGCCTCTGCCACTGAATCCGAATCAGTAGGTGACCCCGCCCCCCCGGATTCTGGAAGGTGAGGTGCAGAGGTGCTCAGACACTAGCCCGGGCCCCAGATCCCCTCTTCCACAGGGCCCAGACCCAGCCACGGGGTCCCCAGCTCCCTCCTCCCCAAGACGGAGGGATCCCAGGCGCCCCCCTCCCCCTTGGGATGCAGAACTGGATTCCTCTGCCCCACACTTAGATTTTAAAACAAACAACACACACAAAAAACCCCAAAAACCCTGGGATCCCTTCCTCTTCCCAGCCCCTCTGAGAAGCCACCATGCCCAGCCAAGCTCTGGTGTGGACCACTCTGCTCTTGCTGCTGGGAGGCCAGGCAGGTGAGGGGGACTGGGGGACCTTCAGGGGAGCGGGGGAGGGGGCGGCAGGCAGGCTGGGGGGGGGCAGCAGGCAGCTGGAGAGCCTCCCTGCCCCCCACTGGCTGACTTACCTGGTGAGGTATGAATGCAGGGGTCTGGAGCAGGGAACAAGAGAAGGGTTTGCCCGGGGATGTGGGTAGGGACATGGAACATGTAACTCAGGTGGGTTGGGTGGTACTGGGGTGGTGGTGGGGTGCTGTCCACCGGACCTGGTCCCCATATGTATGTGGAAACATGTATGATGACTCGTGCGCTGCACTCCTGTGTGTGTGTGTGTGTTTGTGTGAGGCTGCCGGAACCTCAGGTGTGATCCTGGCATGACAAAGCATGCAGAGACCCGGCTGTGTGTCCGTTTGAACCCACAGTGGTTTTCCTGGTCCTGGCACTGTGCATGCGTGAGGGTGGCGCCCCATCCCCCTCCCTCGTGCTGCAGGACGCTCCAGGGCCCAGGGCTCCAAGATACTGGAGGGTCAGGAGTGCAAGCCCCACTCCCAGCCGTGGCAGGCCGGTTTGTTCCAGGGCCAACGACTCATTTGCGGAGGGGTCCTGGTTGGCACCAACTGGGTCCTCACAGCCGCCCACTGCAAAAAAATGTGAGTGATGACCGGGCCCAGATTTGGGGGAGGGGGAGCAGGGGATGTTGAGAAAAGAAGACTGGAGGAGTTCTCAGAAGAGAAGGCAAGACCTCTGGGTCTGAGGGAGGAAGCATGACCCTTGGGTCTGAGGGAGGAAGGCTGGGCCTGGACCCTTGGGTCTGAGGGAGGAGGCTGGGTATGGACTCCTGGGTCTGAAGGAGAGGAACAGTTGACCGAGACACCTGCTCCGTCCCGAGCTCCCCTTCTCCTGCATTCCCAGGAAATACACAGTGCGCCTGGGAGACCACAGCTTACAGAGTAGAAACGAGGGAGAGCAGGAAATGTACGTGGCTCGCTCCATCCAGCACCCGTGCTACAACAACAGCAATCCCGAGGACCACAGCCATGACCTGATGCTGATCCGCCTTCGCAAGCAGGCCGACCTGGGGCCTACAGTGAAGCCTATCGACCTGGCGTATCACTGCACCCACCAGGGCCAGAAGTGCACCATCTCGGGCTGGGGTACAGTCACCAGCCCCCAAGGTAATGTATAGGCTTGGCTGTGGCTAGAAGAGAGCAGAGGAGCTAGTTGGTCCATTGGATCCAACACCATAGGCAAATCTCCTTCCTGCCCCGTTTCCTTAGGAGAAAGCAGAGAAGGAAAAGCGATGAGGCAGGGGGCATGTTGGAAATCTTAAAAGCTCCCAGGACAGAAAAGGAAAACTGTTAAGAAGGACCCAAAAAACTCAGCACCCCGAGCACTTTCTTGAATAGGGTCTCATGGAATCTTAACAGAATGAAGATAGATGGACTTTTTAGGGACTTGGGAAAAATAGGATCTTGTGTATCTTTTTTTTTCTCTCTCTTAAACCCCAGAAACCTAGCCTGATCCCCTCTTCCTTGTCACCCAGGGCTCCAATCCCTTCCTCACTCCTGACTCCCGGGACCCAGCTCCCCAGGTCCTTTTCACTTGGACTCTAGAGCTTGGAGATCCATTGAAAACTCAGAATCTAGCCCTTTACTCTGGCCTCACAGTAAAAGCAGTCTGGGGACTCGGCTCAGAAAGGCAATGAGGACTCTCCGTGCCCCTACCTGTCAGACTCCTATGGGCCAATGAGACAGGGTATTGCTATAGAAACAATCTGCTCATGGGTGAGGCGATCAAACCACAAATCTGAGCCAGCCAACAGCTCCCATGCAGCTGTGGATGTTCCCGAGAGAGGGGTAGACCCAGATGACACTGGAGGAGAACAGTTCAGGAGGGAAGGTAGACCCAGGTGAGACTGGAAGAAAAGAGATCTGTTGTCTTGCTTCTCCCCCACACAGAGAATTTTCCTGACACCCTCAACTGTGCCAACGTAGAAATCTTTTCCCAGAAGAAGTGCGAGGAAGCCTACCCAGGGAAGATCAATGATGGTATGGTTTGTGCGGGCAACAGCAACGGTGCCGACACATGCCAGGTAAGGAGAACCTTTGGGGCTCCTGCCCTGCACATCCAGGCTCCGGGCCGTGTGTGTGTGTGTGTGTGTGTGTGTGTGTGTGTGTGTGTGTGTAACTGGAGAGGTTATCTTTGTCCCTGCAGAGTGCGGACCAGGTTCCAAGAAAGGCAAACTCTCTCTCCCTGGAGGTTACAAAGCATTGAATGGCTGCCATCATTTTCTCAGAACGCAACCTAAGATGTGCAGAGGGAGACTAGGAAAGGATCTGAGGCCACAAGTTCCACAGCATTAGTTCCTGAGATTTTTTTTTTGGTAGACCCAAGCAGTAGCCAGGAAGGGAGTCATCATCATTTCTCTCTGGCTGGGGTCCCAAGGATGGGTCCCTTCTTCTGCCATTGGCTCCCTGGGGACAACACTGCTTTGCCTATTGGCCAGAAAAATGGCGCCACTGCTGACTTTGATGCCAAGCTTCAGGAAGTCTCCTCCCACCTCACCCCCACCCCTGGGGTTGTCACTGGTAGACATTCTCCTTCCTGTTGGCTGTGACCCTGTCAGGTGTCCTCCAGGCTTCCTCTACCCCTGGTCTCTTTCACAGAAGCTCTACCCTCATTGTTGGTCCATGAAGACTATGCTTTCTTCTTCCATTGGCCAAGAATGGGGTCATTCCCATCACTGACAACATCCTGGAAGCCAATGTCTTGATTTCTTCCATAGAGACAAGTTACTCCATAGAGACTGGCTCTCTCCTTTCCCCCCGCTTTTTATTTCTTCCTTCCTTCCTCTTTCCCTCCTCTCTCTCTCTCTCTCTCTGTCTTTCTTCTCTCCTCTCTTTTCTCTCCTTTCCCTTCTCTCTTCTTCCCTTTTCTCTCCTCCTCTCCCTTCCTTGTCCTCCCTTCCTCTCTCCTCCACACTGCTCTTTCTCCTGTATGGTAACTCAGATCAATAAAGGAAACATCAGCTCAGTGCCCTCCATCAATCCCCACTGCCCCCTCTTCGGATTGGACCCTGACAAATACACTCTCTTCCCTCATTGGTCAGGATTTTCTCCACAGCTCTTAGACATCATGTGTGCATCCAGACATCCCAAGTACACTGGAAGCCCTGCCTTCTCTCTCCTGATTGGTCTCTGGAAACAATGCTCTTGTCCTCATTGGCTACAGGAGACCAATCACATTAAATAGGCTCACATTAAATGCCTGCTGCTGCTTTGTAAGGGAAATCCCTCTCTCTTTCCACCCAGGGCGATTCTGGGGGCCCTCTGGTGTGTGGTGGTGTGCTCCAGGGTATCACA